CTGGGGGCCCTCTAACGCAGGCGCCGCGTCGCTGCTGTGCTGGAGGCCTCTCGGGCCTCGGGCTCTGCTGCGTTGGTGGTGGTGGTGGTGTGGGGGGCTCCTCCTCCTCCTCCTCCTCGTGCTCCGCGTGCGTGCACTCACGCGCGCACACACACGCACGCACGCAGGCACGCACGCAGGCAGGGAATCTGGGCCCAAGGCAGTCACAGAACCGCTCGCACGCGCACCGCAACACACAACACAAGCACACACACAGACACACACGCACAGACACACAAAGCACACACGCACGCACGCCCGCCCGCCCCCGCCCCGGCGCCCCGCCCGCCCGCCCCTCCGCCCGCGCCACAACACACACACACACCCCACACAACACACACACACACACACACACACACACAACACACAAAACACACAAACAACACCACCCACACAGTAACTATCAACACACACCACACGCACGCACACACACTCACCCACACACACCACGCACACGCACACGCACACGCGGCGCGCACGGCCGCACGCGCACGCACACGCAAAGCAACCCCGCACCCTTTCCCCCCCCCCCCCACACACACACACACCACCCACACACACACACACACACACACACACACACACACATACACATACACATACACATACACACACGCACACGCACACGCACACACACAAACACAAACAAACACACACACACACAAACACAAACAAACAAACAAACAAACACACACACACAAACAAACAAACAAACACACACATGCACCCAGGAGGCGGAGCCAGCAACACACACACACACTCAAGTCTGTCCACGATCCTCCCCACATCGGGAAGCTTCTGGGGATCTCTGGAGGCTGTTGGGGGCCTCCCTGAGGCGTCTGAGGAGACTACCACTCTCTCGGGAGCTTTTTGGGGCCTCTCTGGCGTTCCTTTGGAGCTGTCTTGGACAACGTTGTGCCACCTTAGGGTTATCTTGGGACCTCTTGGGGCTGTCAGGGGACCATCTTGCGGCCTGCCTCCCAATGACCACCGCTGTTGGGCCTCTCTTGGGCGGGACCCTCTTGAGAAGATTACTGAAGCCCGCACAGGCAGGAAAGCGACAGTAACAAACCAACTACGGTCGTTTAGTGATTCTGGCCATCTTGAGTGCACCCGAGGCGATGTTCTTCGGCCGTCTTGTGCCGTCTGTGCAGTCACTTGGGCTGCAGTGGACAATCTCTGGCTACCTTGGCACTATCTTGTAGCCAACATGGGGTTTGACACGTTTTGATCCGCTCTCTTTGGGGCTTGCTGTTGGCGGGCCTTCTGCTTTAGTGAGGCCCGCAGACTCCCCTGGGTCGCCCTCGCGCGCGTGAGCTATAAACAAGCAGCTACCCATGTTTTTTGTGTGACCTGTGTGAGTCATCGGACACGCCTGTGGGCCGTTGGGCTGGCGAATTAGCTCTGTAGCGTTGCTGTTTTACTTTTGCCATGAGCGCTCCAGGCTTCACCGCCCCGCAGCGGAGAGGGTCTTCTGGGTACTTTTTCTTTGCTGCAACGCTGCAGTGTGGCTGCTGCTGCCAGACTCGCCTGTGGTTCAGCTGGCTCTCTGGGCCACTGGGAGGAAGTTGGGCAGCGTGGTAAACGAGGTGCGGGGCGCCGCTGTCCTCTTCGCGGCGGCGCTCCTGGGCCTAATCAAACACGGCCGCGCCCGCGATTACAGGCTCTATTCGTCTCTGGGGCAGAGGCACCCCAGGCACCAGACCCGGAGCGCGCACGCCGCGCCGCCCGAGACGCTCCTCGGCAGCCGCGCGGCGTCGCGCCTGGCGTGGCTCCTGGGCCGCAGGTACGACCTCCGCTGGGTGCTCCGCAGCAGCTCCCGGGAGATGTGGGAGGCAATCACGGGGAGGCCGCTGAGGGTGCAGAGGAGCTCGCCATCGTCTAGAACCTATCCCCACCAGGCCACCCTCCCAGGTGGGAAGAGGCCCCGCGGGGAAGAGTGTGTGTGTATATATATAGATGATAAATTAATACAGAAAAATAATGGGTAGGGGGTCCTGGTGCCCCCAAAGTGCACTGATTTGTCGTCCGGCCGTTTCGGGCCCGGCGGGGGGCGCCAAAAAATGTCAAGGGGGGCCGAGAGACGTTCAAGAGGGCGCCAAGATGGCCCAAGAGCGCTCCAAGAGAGCCCAAGACCGCACAAGAGCGTTTCAAAATTGGTCCAAGATGGCTTGAAGACAGCCCAAGAGGGCTTCAAGACGGCCAAGATGCCCTCAAAAGGTCTCCCACGAGGCGCTCAAGAGGCGAACAAAGTAGGTCATTCGAAGGGTTTCTGAGGGTTTCTCATGTTTTCGCTGTTTCGTGCTTTCCACGTTGAAAAGACTCACGAGGCCCCAGAAATCAGCTCAAGACGGCCCGAGAGGCACCCAAAGAGGGCGCCGCGACGGCGCAAGAGAGTCCCAAGACGGCCCATGAGTGCCCCAAGACGGCCCAAATACGCCCCCAAGGGGGGCCCAAGATGGGGAACACGAACCGAGAATCCGAGCCTTCCGGCCCAAGAGGCCTCCAGGAGGCCCCAGGAGGCCCCTAACCGAGTCCAAGAGGCCCCCTAGATGTCCCCTAGAGGCCCCACGAGGCCCCAAAGAGGCCAAAAAGACGCCTCACGAGCATCCCAAACGGCCCCCAAGAGGCCTCCAAAATTGCCTCCAAGAGGCCCACGGGAAGACTCCCACGAGTTCCAAACGAACTTCCAAGAGGCCTCTAACCCACAACCCAGGCACGGTGGCGGGATGGGCCGAAGGCCACTATCGGGAACGTGAACCAAGAACCCGAGATCTTCGCCCCAGGAGACCCCCAGGAGGGGTCAAGAGGTCCCCAATAAGCTTGGCGATAGATCACCGATCGACCGGTCGATGAGAGCGGAGGAGGAGGAGGAGGAATGAGGAAGAGGCAGGAGGAAACAGAGAAAGTTGACCTCATTATTCATGACCGCCTTGTTGTCTCAATGCGGTCAGCACTCGACCCTCTAGAACCTAAGCGCGCGCGAAGCGCGCGCGATGGTTATTGTATATAGATAACTAAATATGGATAAATAATGGGTAGGGGGTCCAGGGGCCCCCAAAATGTACTGATTTGTCGTCCGGCCGTTTCGGGCCTGGCGGGGAGCGCCAAAAAATGTCAAGGGGGGCCGAGAGACATTCAAGAGGGCGCCAAGATGGCCCAAGAGCGCTCCAAGAGAGCCCAAGACCGCACAAGAGCGTTTCAAAGTTGGTCCAAGATGGCTTGAAGACAACCCAAGAGGGCTTCAGAACGGCCAAGATGCCCTCAGAACGTCTCCCACGAGGCACTCAGGAGGCGACAAAAAGTAGGTTGTTTCAATGTTTGAAGATTTTTCGCGTTTACGCTCCCAACGGTCCAAGACAGCCCACGAGGCCCCAGAAATCAGCTCAAGACGGCCCGAGAGGCACCCAAAGAGGGCGCCGCGACGGCGCAAGAGAGTCCCACGACGACCCAACAGCGCCCCAAGACGGCCCAAGAGGCGCCCAAGAGGGCCCCAAGACAGCCCCCAAGAGGGGCCCAAGAGGGGGAACACGAACCGACAATTCGAGCCTCCGCCCCAACAGGTCTCCAGGAGGCCCCAAGGAGGTCCCCAACAGCGCCCCCTAGAGGCCCCACGAGGCCCTAGATAGGCCCAAAAAGAGGCCCCAAGAGCACCCCAAACGGCCCCCAAGAGGCCTCCAAGACACGTCGGTGCATAGCCTATCGTGGCATCGCAGCGTTGCCTGGCATGACGTGTCACGGCACAGCACGACAGAGCTGATCGTGTCAGTGCACATCACATGTTGGTTCAGCTTGCCATAGCATTGCATTCCATAGCAGTGTCTAGATGAGCGTAGCACTGCACGTCATGACGTAACATTGCCTAGCATGATTTTGTATATCATGACACATCGTGGTGTACCCTGGAGTTCCGATGCGCATCAATTAGTCGAACAGTACCGTATTAATCTGCGCAACAGTAAACAGAAACCATGCACATGTCACATCCCCGTTGTTGTTCTTACTGTCGTCCTGCTTATGTTAGCCTAGCACCTCATAACATGGCATAGCAGTTCAGTGCATTGCATAGCCTGGCATGCCGCATGCCGTGCCTGTGCATACCATGTAACGCGGTAGCATCGCTCTTCACAGGAAACATAGCATGGTATTGTTCAACGTTTATCCCATATGCACAGCACAGCATGGCATGGCATGTAATGCGAACTGTAAGGTAGATCATGCGATTGCATTGCACACTGCATCGTGACATTTCGCTTTATAGCGTAGCAGGGTGTATCGTGGCACTCCATCGCATCGTGCAACATGGCGCCGTAGCACTTCAATTTTTCCTGGCCCATGGTTTGGCGACAGGTCACCGGTCGACCCGCCGATGAGAGCGGAGGAGAAGGAATGCGGAAGAGGCAGGAAGAAACATAATGTTGCCATCATTCATGACCGCTCTGTTGTCTCGATGCGGTCAGCACTCGACCAGCTAGAACCTCAGGGCGCGCGAAGCGCGCGCGATGGTTTCAGTACATAAATACATACATACGTCCATCCATCCATCCATCCATACATACATACATACATACATAAATATATATTTAAATCCATACATGCATACATGCATACATGCGTACATGCATACATGCATACATGCATACATGCACACATACCTATATATCTATATATACGTATATATGTATACATCTATATATTTATGTTATCCACACCTGGGTGGGTAAGCTGACCAGCAGGGTCCACACCTGGGTGGGTAAGCTGGCCAGCAGGGCCAAGGCCACGCCAGTGGAGACGGAGATTTGTGAGCCGACACTCAGGAGCGTGGCCGAGGTGCTTCGGGAGCTGGACCAGGACGGCTGCCTCTCCGACCTCGAGCACGTGCTCAACTCCGACGAGGTCGACCTGCCCCGCCTCCTCACCGTCGCGGGCACGCCCGATGTGGTTGGCCTGCTGGCGCGCTGGGCGTCCCGCACGGACAGCGTGGGGACCAAGCTGCGGGTCGTGGACGCGATGCAGCGGGTCCCGGACTTCATCTTCGACGGCCACTGCTCAGGTGTTGTTTTACAAGTGGCCTCGGCATAAGGTATTCCTAGCTGTCACGCGCCATTCTGGGGGTGCTCTGGAAGCCATCTGGGCCTCTGGGGAAAACTTCAGTCGGGCCTGTCCCTCTACAGGAGGAATATTCAAACATAGTAGAAGAATAGTCTGGTGACGATGTTCTATGTTTGACTATTTTGAAGTATTTTTTGACTAATTTTCATTTCTCCTCCAAAATCCGCCTGTAGGGGGACACGCCCGACCTAAGGGACATGCAGGGGGCACCTTGGGCCGGGGACGCATCTGGCAACACCCGAACTTCCACAATGCCGTAGCGGACGTCGTCACCAGCACTCGGGGCGAGGATTTGCTTGCCCTCCTTGCCTGCCTGGACGAGTGCGGCGACATTTTTAATGCTCACAAGCTCATTTTTAACGATCTCGGCGAGAAGTGCCGCAAGAGGGTGCTGCAGCACATCGCGCAAGCGGGCACCAGCGATTGGCAGCATCGCAAGCGGAAGATCTTGAGCGACATCGACGACACGCTGGTGAGCAGCGGCGGCCGCTTCCCAGCGGGGGCCTCCTCGAAGGAGGCCTACAGACGCTACCCCAAAGGCCAGATCTATCCGGGCGCGCTGAGCCTTTTCAGGGAGCTCAGCCGGCCAGAGGGCCGAAGCGACTTTGGATCGGTCGCCCTCTTGTCTGCCCGCCCGCACTTCTACAAGGACTACACGGAGAGCGCTCTGTACAAGCTCTTCGGCCGCTTGCACGACTGCCAGCAGCTCCACTGCATGCCCACCGTCCTGGCCGGCCAGCTGCGGACGTCCTTCTTCGCAATGGTCTGGGAGGCCGTGTTCCATTTTCGCAGGCTCGGGGGTGTTCATGCGTCCAAGAGGGGGCTGAGGGGTGAGAACTAGGGTTCGGGGGGGTTACCTTGCCCGCGGCTACCACATCCCGCAGACGTCATGCCCCTCCGCTCATTTTGCCAGTGCGTCCCTCGATGACTCCCCGGTAGGGTCCGAGCAGATATGGGGTCGATGGATAGCGCCGCATCGCCGATGCATCGCCGATGCGGCTCGATGTGGAGCCTAGTTTCACGCCGACAGCGCCGACGGCGCCGACGCATGGCCGACGTCGCCGATGCATCGTCGGCGCATCGTCGGTACATCGGCAATGCATCGGCGATGCGGCCTGATCTTCCGACCCCATTCGCTCGGGCCCCATTTGGGAGGCCTCTGCTTCCCTGCCCCCCCACTCCTCCGCGCACGTGCCTCGGGCCATGATGCTCCCCCACCCCACTCCCTGAGATCCGACGTTGCGGCACATTGCAACATCCTGAAGCATCACGCCTGGAGTCCCGGAACCCCATCTTTATGCGTCATCTTCCCAGCCGCATCGATTTGTGGGGGAGGAGGAGGAGGAGGACGACAAATAATGAAAAATAGCAATCAGCATAAAAGTAATATTAATATGAATACGAATAATCATAAGACGGATAATGATAATAACATTCATACGAATAATAACGAGACGAAGCATACTACTACGAATGGTAACAAACATAATGCTCAGAAAAAGACATCTAATCTTACGAATCATAAGAATGAGAAGAAGAGTACCACTACTAATGATACTGCGAATGCGAATAATTCTACTAATGTCGATAATACTGATAAGATGAAGAGCAGGCATAACAAGAAGAGGAGGAGGAGGAGGAGGAGGAGGTGGAGGGGGGGAGGAGGGAGGAGGAGGAGGAGGAGGAGGAGGAGGAGGAGGAGGAGGAGGAGGAGGAGGAAGGAGGAGGAGGAGGAGGGGGAGGGGGAGGGGGGGAGGGGGAGGGGGGGAGGAGGGGAGGAGGAGGAGGGGGGAGGAGGAGGAGGAGGAGGAGGAGGAGGAGGAGGAGGAGGAGGAGGAGAGGGGAGGAGGAGGAGGAGGAGGAGGGAGGAGGTGGAGGAGGAGGAGAGGAGGGAGAGGAGGAGGAGGGGAGGAGGAAGAGGAGGAAGAGCAGGAGGAGGAGGAGGAGGGAGGAGGAGGAGGAGGGAGGAGGAGGGGGAGGAGCAGCAGGAGGAGGGGCCCTCTGGGCCCCTGCTGGCCCAAGGGGGACGGGTGCAGGGCACCCCACAGGGCCCGACCCCCACCCCCGCAGGCCACGCCCCGTGACCACCACCCGCCCCGCCCGCCCGAGCGTGAGGCGGGAGAGGAGAGAAAATAAGCACAGGCACAATGAATCGTCGACTCCCAGGAATATATATATATATATATATATATATAGGAGAGAGCATGGGAAGTGGGGGGGAGACAAAAACCCAGAAAATATTGGAAACGATGGGAAATCCTGTGATCTGCGTCTATGTATGTGAGTGTGTGTGTGTGTGTGTCCCTGGGCTCCTTCAGTGAGGGCCGGCCACGGGCCCCAGAGAGGCCGACGTCGAGGAGCGACGCCCCTGGCCTGAAGGAACACGCGTCCTCGGAGGCTCGCAGGCCGAGGCACGCGAGGGCACGCGCCGATCGGCAAATCGCAGCAGATTCGGGCAACGAGCGCGTCCCTGGAGGCCTCCTCGATGGGGTCGGGAGCAGGTGGGGTCGGAGGATCGCGCCGCATCGCCGACGCATCGCCGATGCGGCTGGATGCGGAGGCCGATCTGCTTCACGTCGACTCTGCAGATGCATCGCCCACGTCGACGATGCATCGCTGGTGCATCGCCGATGCATCGCCGATGTATCGGCGATGCGGCGCGACCCTCCGACCCCATCTACCCCGACCCCATCTAGGAGGCCTCCAGAGGCGTGCTCGTTTGCCTACCTGCTGTTTTGCCGAACGGCGCGTGCCCTCGCACCCCCCCCCCCTCCCCTTGGACCAGAAGAGGAAAAGGTACCCATACCGCTTCCCTTCGCCCGTTTTTTCCTTTTCGCCCCCCTGGCAGGATCTCGTCGCCACCGTTGGATTCGCCTCGAAATTCTGGTCAGAACGCTCCCCATGAGAAGTCCGGGGAGTAGCGGTATCGGCACCTTTTGATTTCGCTATGAGAGTAGATAGTGACTATTTTTTGTTGGCGACTTGGATCCGTCACGTGATGCGAATCGGAGGAGGGCAGCAGGAGGATGAGATGATGAGGAGGGGGATTCGTTGGTGAGGGGGGAACTTCGTGTCGCGTGACGAAATCCCTCTGCATATTTTGCGCGCCTGCTTGAAGCAGGTGGGTTCTCCCCCATAGAACGCATTGTTGCAAACAGTGGCAGTAAGCAGAGGTCGGGAGTCATCGGAGGCCTGAAGGTTCACACCAACACCAAGATCGGCGGTGTGCTTCCACCGAGGGATGGGGATCCCGACCTCGGTGATGCTGTTAAGTCTCGGGCTGTTCCTAGGTGGCCGTAGGATTGCCACCAGCACCAGAATCTGGGATCATCTTCCCCTGGTGGAAGCAGCCCCCTGTGTTGGTGTTGGTGCCCATTTCCAGGACTCCTCAGGTGATCGTTGATTCATTGTTTTGCTGAGCGGCGCGGGCCCTCGTGCCCCCCCCCTCTCCCCCCCCTATGGAGTAGGCCTTGGCTGTTTTTTGGCGCCTGCTTCGAGCAGGTGGATTCTCCCCCATGGGGCGCACGGTTGCAACCAGTCGCGCGAAGCATGATGTGGTGGGTGTGGGGGTGGCTTGGGTCGCCTTCAGGTCCTCGGGGAAAGGGTCTGGCCATGATTGAATCTGTTCAGGGTCTCTTGTCTGCGTCGTCCGAGATCCGCCTGCAGGAGGACAGGCCCGACCCAACTCTATAGTGATGCCACCTTGCGTCGGGCCCGTCGCTTCTCGCCGCTCACCCGGCCAGGTGCGCCGGCGCCGCCCTGGCCGCGCTCTGCCTCGGCGCCGGCGCCCGCCTGGCGGGCCGCGGCGCGAGCGCCGAGGCCGCGGCGCTCGCGGCGGCGAGCGGCGCGGCGCTGCTGGCGCTGGCGAGCGGCGTCTGCTGCACGGGCAGCTGCGGCGCGGCCGCGGCCGCCTGGAGCCTCGCGGGGGGCCCCCAGGGTGAGGTCGGGCCAGTCCCTCGACAGGAGGGGCAGCCCAAACTATGCGGGCAATAGTTATATCCATATCCAGTGCGTCTTGGATTCTTGGGCTCTCTTCCCCAGAAACCGTAGACGCACTGGATATGGATAAAAATCTGGCCCCAAGAGGCTTGATTTTATCCATATCCAGTGCGCCTCGGCGTTGCGGCACCTCTTCCCAAAAAGTCCACGACGCTCTGGATATGGATATAAGTACTGCCCGCAAAATAGTGGAACAAAAATAGCCTGGGGACGATGGTTCTGCTATTTCTGATTATGGTTTGAATATCTTTGGGCTGCTTCTTATTTGTCGTCCAAAATCCCCGTGTAGGAGGACACGCCCGGCCTAACACCAGGGGGGGGGTCATCGTGCAGTCGGGCGTGTCCCTCTACTCTAGGCCTCCCAGGTGGGGTCGGAGTAGAGCGGGTCGGAGCATCGCGCTGCGGCTCAATGTGTTGGGCCCCATTTTCTCCACGCCGACGTCGCCGATGCATCGCCGACGCCTCCAGCGCATCGCCGATGCATCGGCGATGCATCGCCGATGTAGCGGCGATGCGGCGAGATCCTTCGACCCCATCTAGAAGGCATCCTATCTACAGGAGGAAGATTCCAATCTCGTCCAACATAGTCTGGGGACGATGCTTCTACTATTGTTGGTCATGTTTGGGTATGTTCTAACTCTGTTGCATTGTTCCTCGAAGTCCGTGGGGCTTCCCGAGGAGGCGGCGGGGCTTTTTGGGAGGCGGCGCGGGAGTTTCCGAGAAGCTCGCTTGGATGAAGGAGGACAAAAATGCATAATCGTAAACGTATGCCGCTTTGCGCGGATTTCTTGGCTCCGCGCTGGGCCTCCACGAACATCAGAAACAATTGGGAAGTGGAGGGGGAGGCTAA